ACAAGTATGTACTCCAAACCTCTCCTTCCTTCTTAGTAGCAGCAGTCTTCTTCTTGCAACCAATGTCAACACCATAATGCTGAAGATACCACTGCTTAAATGGAGCAGCCTCAACTTGAACTATAGCACTCTTGACCAAAGTCTGGGTCCTAACCAGTTCATTGTTAGAAGCATTAAAAACTACGTCAAGTATACGAGTCTTCCTGGTAAGAGACTCATTTCCCCATGAGTAATTCCCAGAGTCCAACCTCAGTGCACGCCACTTCACATTCCCACCTCTTACCCTAACCCTCCTTACTGCCTTGTTACCATCCAACTTAGTGTTTGAAGGTCACCTTCCCAACTCACACCTAATAGCAAACAAGAGAGTTGTCATAATCCAGACTCTAGAGATTATTATTACGAGGCACAGATGCAACACAATCACATGGTAAGACCAGAATTTATGCCAGTCAATTGCAAGCATAGATGGACCATAACTAAGACTACAGGGATTGTCAAAGTCAGGCAAAGATGGTGCATAACAGCAGGATACAACTCAAATTCATGCTAACCATTCTTAAGAAGTTACAACCTAGATTTTCTTTTCACACGGGCAAGGAGCAACATCGCCAAGTAATACCCACTACATGTATAAATAAAGCAACCACAAGGTCCAGAACCCAATGGTTCTCTTCAACCATATACAGTAAGCCACAAATGGACTAGGCTTTAATACTAATGAATATTATGAATTGCAATATATGCAGGCATAGACCAAACAAAACTAAATTAACACAACTCAATATTATGAATTGCAACATAGCTCTTTAATACTTCCAAAATCACAGAGAGGACCTGGAAACAAACTAAAATGATCATCAACTTAATCGAATGAACAAGGGCACCGGAGAACATAGCAATGAAAAATCTAATACCCAAAAAAAGGATAGCAAAATAAAATAAAATAAAAAAGAGCATTCGGTCTTTTAGAAGTACAACCAGTCACCCCAAGCCATTAATTGGTGCCAATGTAGTCAGGCATAGACAAACCAAAACAAAATTCTACAACTAAATCAACGCCCGTCATTCTCAGGAGAGTAGTTTTTCTCATCATAGAAATCAAACATCTTCATCAGACCATGCAATTAGGTCCCTAGACAATAATTGCTAAAAACAATAAAGTATAAATCATCCCATATTTAGTAAAATGCATAAGGCCACCATCTTACACATGAGTTTTACATAAACACAACAATAGTCCTTCTCAAACAAATGCAAATTTGAAAATGAACTTTGTAGTGATTAAGAATTTTATTTTGGGGGGCTTACTTTCGCTTTTTCCTTCAGGCCTTCTTCTTGCCTCAAGTGGCACGCCTCTTGTGCATTGAATCGCAAGAAATACCTACACGGCGTACCAAAAAAAAAATTTACCAACTAAAATCGTTGATTCAGAAGGTATGATGAAGTTGAACAAAGACGGTGAGGGAAATAAAAATGCGATGAAGACGAATGAATACACAAAAAGTATTACCCATTTTGCTGTTGCAGTTGGCGCTGCTGATGGATTCTACAGCTCCTGCGAGTTGATCCAAACGTGCAGGTCTGAGAGGAAAGGGGAAGCCGAATCTATCGGAAGGGGAAAGGGTCCAAGAAAATACGAGCAGGGCTTTTCTAAAATCGGTTTTTTCGGCCCACTGCAGACAAGCGTAAATAAGTCTAATCAAGTCAAATACGCCTAGTATTTAAACAAATTTGACAAGTTTGAAATTTTATTTAAAATTGGATTGTTTATTTGTTGAATTGAGATTAAACGAACTTTTTATCGAATTTGAATGTTCAAGATTGGGTTGTTTATCTATTGAACTGAGATTGAGTTTTATCAAATTTGAATGTTGTCGAACGGGTTTTATGAAATTTGAGTTTTTATGCGGATGACAAACCAAGCTTGAACGAACTGTTATCAAGCTAAATTCGAGTTCAATTCGGGTATGAAATAACTTGGTTCATGTTGCAATTCTACCTACCTATGCCTTTTATGTTGATTTTTTGACCGTTTTACTGATTTATCCTTGCAAGAAAAGGTGATGGTATTAAACCTAGGTGGATGGTTAATACAATTAGACGATCGGTAGTCGCATGTTAGGATTTGATATTAACGAAAAGTTACTGACAGATAATCCGATAGAATTTTGTAAAAGAACCCAAAAATCAGCCTGACATTTCGTAGAATTAATCTTCTATACACTGACAGTATATACACTTTCACTATTTGATACATGACATTTGAAACCCAAATTTTGCACATATATCGTACATCCAACCGTGATAGTGTATACACTGTCAATGTATATAAAATTTACTCATATATAAAAATCTGATAACATGTTATCACTTACAAATCCAAAAGGCCGTAAAATAAAACGGAAAAAGAAAATTATGAATGAAATGACCATATCACCACTAACAAATCCAGCATTTCTAGGCTACTCCTCTGCGTGGTAGCGTCGGAAAACAAATATTCTGTTCCATTCAGTCACTGGATTCATCGATGGTACAAACCAAAAGCAGGACCCAATTCCTTGATTCCTCATCTCGTACTGCAATTCATTTTTCCTCCAAGTTCTTGATGTCAGAATATTTTTAGCTCTACAAAAAGGGGAAAAAAAAACTTGCTTCCGCTGATGAAGCAAATAAATACCGTATTTGATGCCAAACACTAGTAGTTTATTGCTACACTTGAGGGTGTAATCCAGATGGGGTTTTCCTTAACCGGCCTTGCTCCCACCAATTGTCATACCTCTCTCGGAATTTCTTATCAAATAACTCGAAAATTTCTGCTTTTTAATGGGAAAGAGAGAGGCACAGTAGGTTTTAAGTCATCAGAGCTTAAGCCTAAACCGAGAAATTTGGTTCCCTGCAAGCTTGAGTACATCGATTTTGATGCAAGAACCAGCCCGACGGAGGTACAACGTATACCCATCTTCAACTACAGTTTACTTGTTTAGTGTACATGAATGCTTGTATTCCAGTTGAATGTCTTGGGGAAAATGAAGAGAAATGTATAGACCGTGCCGTTGCAAAAATAAAGTTTCTGTCTTCTCTGTTTCTTGTTTTTGCTAATGCTCTTGACCATTTTAAATGATTGAGCTCGGTAGAAATGATGAGGAAATTGGACTGCTGTTTCTTATTATTCTATCAGAATCAAGGTTTGACGCAGCTACTTCGATTTTTTGTTTTTGTTAAAGTTAAAAGCTTGGTGCCACCTCTCCTTTGACCTTTATGTAGTGATTTTCTTAGCTTAGAACTTGGAAATTCCATATCACTTTCTCAGTAAAATGTAGGTTTACTGCCTTGCTGATGCCCGAAAGATTATCTAAATCCCTTCTGGGATTTCCATATTTAGGATTAGTAATTGACTGTTTCAGCAGGCAGTCCGTTTTTGTTAAAAACTTCAACTGCTTCAATATGGTTCCGTGCATTTGTACATTTCCCCTGTTACCTGATTTTCATGAGGCTAAAAGGTTCTGGAATGTAAAGCCCGTGGAGATATGCTTCGCATTTCTTGATAGTTGGATTTTTGGTTTGGCTTCTGGATATTTGTTTTTTCTTTTCTTTACCTTATTTTTGCTTTTTTCTTCTCTCCAGCACTTGATTTTGATGTTTTTCTATTACCATGCTCTCTCTCTCTCTGGTTTTTTTTTTTGGGGGGGGGGGGGGGTGGGTGGTGCTGCTGCTGGAGGGGAGGGACGAGACTTCATGATTGCAATTGATGCATACCAAGATCTTGCCCATCCATTGCTAGTGAATGGAAGCTTGTTTACATTGTTCCATCAATGTAGTAAAGATCATTCTTTACTGAGTATTGAGATTAAGAAGCATTTTTAACTTCAATTTCAGGTGAAGAAAGAAATTGAGGAATGCTACAAACTCATACACAGGCTAGGCAGAGGTGTTGCATACTTGGGTTCTTCAAGGATGGGACCTAACCACCCTCATTATACGCAAGCATTTGAGTTGGGTAGAGAGGTAGAATATTTCAGGTCTATAAACCCAAAAAAGAACATAGTAACGAAAATATAAATTGGAAAGATTAAATCTAGAATATTGCTTGATTTTAGTCCTCGGATGTGGCCTGTTTGATAGATTGCAGGGCTCTTAGATTGTACATCCTGGTCAGGGGCTGGACCAGGGCTCATGGATGCTGCCACACAAGGAGCTCTGCAAGCTGGAAAACCAGTAGGTGGATTCAAAATAGGAAAAGAAGCTGGAGAATGGACGGCTACAAACTTTCACCCGTACTTGCCATCGGAAGCATATCTTACATGCAGGTAAGCATCATGCTATCAGAATTTTACTTTACGAGTTTCAGGACTAGGTCAGTTGAATAAATTCAAGAAACACACACAGGTTCTTTTCCGCAAGAAAGCATGGGTTAGTGGATGCTGTTGTCAGAGCTAGTGGTTCTGATAAGACAGCCGTCGTTGCCCTTCCTGGCGGTGTTGGAACTCTGGATGAAATATTTGAGATCATGGCGTTAATTCAACTCGAAAGAATTGGATCATCGCTTCGGGTGCCCTTTCTTTTAATGAACTATGATTCCTTTTATGAGAAGCTGCTGGAATTTCTTGACAATTGTGAGGAATGGGGAACTCTCTCAAAGGGTGAGGTTTCCTCACTGTGGAAAGTATGCGGCAACAACACAGAAGCCTTGAGCTATTTGGCGCATTTCTATGGCCTTTCTTTATTGTGATAAAGCCATAAAGAGGGGAGCCTAAATCACAAACTGAATGTGGATCTGTTTCTTGATTCTTTTAGGTGGTTGCTTTGACCCTCAAATCTTGACTACACAGATAGTTTTTTTTTTTTTTATACGATAGCTTCTTATGCTATGGCGAGGGAAGGGTCTGAAGAGGTTTTGGGGTAACTAACTCAAAGTGGACTGAACCACCACCGGACCAGACAGATAGTCACCAGACTTGTTTTATACTATTTCTCTGGGACTAAGCTCTGGGCATTTTGAACTACCAAAGGAAAAGCATTATGCTTCCACATTCATAAAAGCATTATGCATATTTTACTTAAAACTGATAGTACTTTATTTCCAACATAATAATAATAATAATGTTCACGAGGACCGAGAAAAACATCAGCAATGTCAACAAGCAAATCCTACTTCAATAACGAGAGACACTTGAAAAAGACTCGAAAAACCCTAAAGCCAAATGGGTATAATAACTCCTTAAAACTAAAAGACTCGATTATAGAGGGGAATCCTGCATTCTACTACAAACAGCTGATGCCTTAATAACCTACTGCAAACGGCTGATGCCTTAATAACCGGCAACGTATCCTCGATCATAACTAGGGGCACCACCATATCCAGGGTAAGCTTGTGCTCCGGTGAAATACCGGCGGTCTGGTCCTTCCAAATAGCTGGAGCATTGTCCGTGCTGCCACCACAGCATCTCTACATGTTTCTCCAACTTTCCTAGCTTGTACAGTAGCATGTTTGCATTCACGCAGCCTGAGAGTTCAATTATTCCATCTTCATGCATCTGGAAGTGTCGTATCCCTATACATATTTTGTCCAACAAGAGGAATTTATAAATTAAAATAACAATATGTTCAAAACAAAAACTGGTCTAGGAAACAATAAACTTTGAAAAAAAAAAACCAAAATCATAAAAGGAATAATGCTTCTAAATTAGGGAGCACCCTGTTTATAGAAAATCTGACAATATACATTACATCAAAAAATAATAATAAAAAAGGGCTTTTGAGTAAAAAAAAAAAAAAATTTTTTGCGTAAGCATGTCTAGTTATAATACATGCTATGATTGCGGAAAGAAAGAAAGAAAGATTTCATGTTCGCTTGGATCAGTTTGTATGAAGATTAATCCCATGACTCTGTATCGAATCGAGGACATTAATAATAGATTGTTGTAATAATGAGATGCAAGCAACTTGCCATGGGTTGAGCCGACCACTTTGCCTAACTTGTACATAGCTTTTGATGATCCTCTTCTTCTGCCCATGTCCCATCTCAGCGTACAAGCCTGAATGAGTGAAGAAAGTGGATTACTGTAAAAAACAAGAGATTTAAACGACAAATACCTAAAAAAAAAAAGAAAGACAGAACAATAAACCTTAAACCCAAAAAGAAAAAAAAAATTAACAACAAACACAAAAAGCTCATATTATGACCATGAAATCAGCGGCCTCCTCCGGATAAACCCTGGGCGCGGCGGCATTCACGAAGGACTTGGAAGACTTGAAGAACTTCATAGTAGGAGTATCACTTTTGTTGGTTGTTAAGGTTGTGATATTGTGGAATAAATGGGGAGCCAGTGCATGAATTTATAGATTTTCTTAACCGCCTTTGCCCAGAAATAATTAAGACAAGTTATGGTCTTGCCCATTTTAGTAGTATTGTACATAATTCTTGTTACCATATTTTGATTGTGAAAACTTTTTCTTCAAGATTCCTTCAAGCTATTAAGGTAATGTTACCAGTTACCACTATCCTTTTTTTTTTATAGTACTGCTAGAATATCTTTTCTTGCTATAATATCTCCTCCTTACATAAATAACTGTATCTTTCCTTGCTTGCACATTGCGTTCTTCCATTTAGATTCTCTATGTTTTTGCAAAATTTGCGTCTTTTTTTTTTGCCGTGGATTTTCGGGCAAGTGCTTTACCAATATATTGTCCACCAATCACATTCATTACCCCCTTATTTGTAGACAAAGTTTGTTTATGCTAAAAATATTATGATCTTTTTGTGATATTCTTTTACTGACCATCATATCTTTGGATACCAAATCATATATGAATCTCAATCCTTTTTCTTTTCAACATCACATTTATGAATGGCGTACAATGCTCTGGCAGTTATAAGGCAATTTTAAATGCTTCGCAAAATTTATGCATGGTGATCATATATATATATATGGTTTGTGAAGCGGGGCAGGTTCACTCACAAGTCGCACAATTATACTTGCTGATTACAAGGTGGAGTGAATTTTAGCTTAATTTTGCACATCGTACTTCTAGGAAGAAGACCGTCCGTGTTCTTTCATTACCAATTGACCCAGGCGCAGGTTCCTCAATCACTAGATTAAAAATCGAAGTTCTTGTGTAATAATAAAACTTTGCTTCATAAAAAGCAAACCCTTTTTAGATTTTAGGTGCTTGGCCAAACCCAATTTGCTGAAGCCAACACCAACACATCTGCTGCAAGCATGACAGAATATTTGGCTAGATGATTGATTGATAATGAACGACAACTTCAGTAATTTTGTCCAACACCATCATATATTCTCAGAATGATAACTAGGTCTGATACAACTGGAAATTTACAAAATCCTTCAACAGTAGGCTATCCACTCTCTGCTGTGGATTTAAAATTCCGAGGCGTGTGCCGCTTTTTAATGGATTGACAAAAGAATGAGAACGACTCCTTAAGTTCGTTTGGAAGGGGAAATGCCAGAGGAGGGAGAGCCAAAGGTTGCCCACTTCTGACGGTCACCTTATTGTTTGAGGAAAGGGCCAGTGCAGGCTGCTGCTTGTTAAGACCTTCAATGATGAAGGAAAACGCCCCAAATGTGAGACAGCTTTGAAGTAGAGCTTGAGGTGCACCTGGGAAACACACGAGTCACAAATCACATACAATTTTAGTACGCCAAATTAACACACACTCAAAATGAAGGTCCATATACCGGGAAAACTAAGAGCAAGACCAGTGCAGCACCCAGCCACTCCTGCATTGATAACTATAGAAGAAGAAAAAACAAAAAGGTTATAACAAAGGGGAATCGTAGCATTAAAAGCTAGTAATTACTCAAATTGGAATATCATACCATCATCTTTCCCCCGCAGCCTCTTCAAGAAACATACTACTAAACTGTGAACTCCGGATAAAACTGCAAATGTCTGGAAGAGACAAAGGGAACTGAGAAGGAATAAACCATTCCAAATAGAAGCCAGAAGAATCCTACAGACTATAAAAATGGAAAATGTAATTGAAAAGCTGCCAATCAAAAGATAAATATCCAAGAATCCAGCGCACCTTGGCAGAAGACCCTGCCTCTCCTAAAGATCCTTTAAAGCCCTTCCTCTTAATCAAACCAGAACCTGAAAAAGGCGTCACATAAAGTACATGAAGAAGTAAAAATGCAAATCATCTGAAGTGCATGAAGAAGGTTATCTATGTTAAATATGTTAAGCATCACTTCAAAGAACAAGACAAGTAATGTAGCAAGAGACAAGAGTAATGCTTTGGCACAACAGACCAAACTCGTCATGGAATCACACTAAAATATCAACTACTTACTAAAGGAACCTGCTAATAAATAGATGATATGCAACATCAATTCCTTGAGAAAGGGCCAAAATCATACCCCAACAGTTTAACTTACAAGTACCATGTACTACGGGCAGATAGGCCTCGTGCAGCTTGAAAGCAAGGCGAAGGATGAATAAAGGAGCATGAACACTAGATAACATCACCAAACCAAGGCAAACTCAGTGCACCAAAGGGCATATATGGGTTCCATTCTTTTAGCCTCACATCAATGCATTTGACAAATATGGGTTGCCATAAAATCAATATGTCAGCATAATATCAACAAATAATACAGGCTTCCCTTCAATGCAGCAAAACATTAATATAGGTAGTATAAGCTTACAACTTACATCTTTTGGCCTAGCTTAATTTACTTAACAAATTAACTACACCGATACAAATCAACAAATACTGCTGCTGCACGCTAAACCCACCAATAATGATGGTATCAGAAACAAAAAGTAAATCTAGGAAAAAAATGCATCCAGAATCAAACAAAATAATGTAAAAAGCGATCGACTTGAACACAAAATCTACTCGTCCAAAAGGATAACTCTAACAAAATATCAGTATAGAAATAAGAAGCAAAACTATCAAGAAATTAGCCCGTAGAAGGTTCGACTCATATTTCGATATCATTCTTAATCTGACATGGCCCAACTCCAATTACCCCCAAAAAGTTTCAACCTTTGAACCCGCACAACAATAATAAAGAAGACAACGAAGAAATAGAACACATTAGGAAACGGAAGCGAGATGGGATAGAATGTCACTTACCAAAGCCGAAAATGGAGCCCATGCAAGCGCCGGCAGCGGAATCGCCGGCGAACCTAAGGAGGCAAACAACAGGTGGGCTGGAGGGGTTAGAGATTAAGGCATCGGAAGTGACATTTAGGTCTGAATTTTGGGTGGGGTTTGGGGGAGGATTAGGAGGGGTCTCGATTTCGGAGTCGGAGTCGGAGGTTGATGAATTGGCCGGCGTTGTCATCTCCGAAAAACCCTAAAAAAGGCTTTTGGGGGTATAAAAAGTCTTTGAACTTCTTTGTGATTTTACCGAAAGAAAAAAATGAGTCTCTCTGCTTTCTTTCCACCCTTCTGCGGTGCGGATATTTTCTAGGATAGGGATCTCAGACGCAAGATTAGATATTCGGTTTCGGATCGGATATGCCCATATAATGAAACGGTTGTATTTGTAATTGTAAAGAAGCTCGTACCATCGTTGAGATGAGTGTACAAATGTTAATGCGCATAATTCAAGTAAATTAGAATTGTGGGGTTTTGATGGATGTATACAATTAACTAGTAAGAGCAGGTCAAATGAAGAATTTCTGAATAAATAATGTTCCCTAAGGTTTGCCTGTGCTGAAATATTACTAGTAAAACTTTGCACTTGCTTAAATGGCAGGACTCGAAAAGATTTTAGGCAGGTATGACTGAAATAGTGGAACAACAAATGCATCATCAGCTGGAATCGATAAAGAACAACCAATTAAGGCATATTTCATTAGACAGAAATTTGAATGAACACAAATTCCCACCCCCCCAAAAAAATGAACACAATTTCTCTCCACCTCTCACTTGTAAAATACTACAACGCTAGTGCATTAAAAATATATGTATATATCCCACTACTATCAATCAATGAATTACTGAATAAAAGTATCAAATTGCACACTTTTGCAAAGTGAAAAATAACATGCTATGCTCGGTCCCAAGTAGGGTCCCAAAACAGCTCCCCTCTGTGTAGGATGATTGTCAGGGGTAATGACAAGCTTGACATTTTTCCCTGCCGCACTCAATAGTGTTGTTCTTGATAAATTGCTCCAAATTCTGCTCTCCATGCTTGATCATCATCATGCATATAGGAATGCGTATCATCATGCCCTCCTGAGTAAGAATCTTCCCTGTATAATGGTCGTAATGCAACTTCAGGCAGTCTGCTCTCTGCAAGGTACTGTTTCATTGTGATCATCTCCATCTTGTGCTTCCTCTTGAGTTTCTCTACTTGTTTCTTTAGGTTCTCATTCTCTTCTCGTACCTTTGTGAAATTTCCCTGCCAAAACAAAACAAAAGAAAGGGAAAATGCTTACACCTGTTTTGTGTTGATAATTGCAAAGTTATTCAAGGACAATGTAGCCAATGACTAAAAATATATCGAGGTGCTTTTGAAAAAATAAATATTACATAATCTGATTCTTAGCTAACAATCATTTTATTAAAGCGGCAAAGGGAAAAGCATGGATTGATAGAAGGCGGCTATACGAGGAAAAAGGGAAAAGAATCAGGTATTGAAATAGAAATACCTCTGCAACTGAAGCTGTTTCCTCTGCTTCTCTCAGCCTGACAAGTAATTCACCAGCAGCATGAACAGCTTCTGCAGTGTCTCTAAGTTGAGTTCTTAGACTTTTATTCTCCTTTCTCAGCAGCTCCCTCTCCCTATCCTTTTCTATTCTCGAAGCTGAAAGTTCCGCTGCAAGGCGCTTAGAAAAACGAGAGCCATGGCCCTTGGCTCCTGCTTTAGCAACTGCCCTTTTCATCTCTGCTACACCTTCCATAACCAATCGATGCTTTCCAACCAATTCATTATACTTCTCCTGTAGTTCAGCATAATGCTCAATCATTCTAGCATGTCCAAGAACAGCTCTTTTGAGTGCATCATCCAACTCCTCAGTGCATTTCTTTTCTAATCTCAACTCCATCTCCACCTTATCCGCTCGTTGGCGGTGAGATTCAAGATCAATCCTCAAATCATCAGTTAAACAAATCCACTCACTTTCCATTTCTGTCCATCTTTGCCTTTCTTTCTCAAGTTCTTCCTCATTTTTTCCCCAAGTCAATGTGCCGCTTTTTCTCAACTGGATTGATTGAGCTAAGAGAGATGATCTGATCCTCTCAGTTGATTTATTAGTTCCATCATTATGCAAATGCAATTTGCTTCTAA